GCTCCGCGGCATGTGGGATCCGCCCGGACCGGGGCACAACCCCGCGTCCCCTGCATCGGCAGGCGGACTCTCAACCACTGCGCCACCAGGGAGGCCCCATTCTTTGCACTGTTGACTGAAGTTTGTGCCCTAATCGTTTTTTTCCAAAAGGCTTATGGGAAAATATTGTATCTTCAAAAATGTTTGTTATACCGGAAAGACAATTTGGCTGGGTAAAATAATTATTGGATTTTTTTTTCTGCCTTTTTTATTGTGGTAAAAAATATAACATTCAATTTACCATCTTAACCATTTTTAAGTGTACATTTCAGTATTGTTACGTATATTCACGTTGTTGTGCAACAGAGAACATTTTCATCTTGCACACTTGAAACTCTATACTCATTAAAACACTATTTTCCTTCCATCCTCCTCTAGCCCCTGACAACCACCTTTCTACTTTCTGTTTCTATGATTTTGACTACTTTAGATACTTTCCCTGAGTGGAATCATACAGCATGCGTCCTTCTGTGACTGGCTTCTCTTGCTCAGTATAATGTCCTTGAGGTCCATCCACACTGTAGCACATGACAGGATTTCCTTCTTTTTGAAGGCTGCATAATATTCCATGATGTGTAGTATTCATTGTGCTATGTCATTTTATATAAGGCACTTGAGCATCCATGGATTTTGGTATCTGCAGGGGCTCCTGGAATCAATCCCCCAAGTACTTTTAGGGATGACTGCATATATTACATTTTTGATTATTTGTTCATCTGCCAATGGACATTTGGGTTGCTTTTACTGCTTGGCTATTAGGAATAATGCTGCAATGAACATGGGAATGCAAATATGTCTTTGAGATCCTGCTTTGAATTTCTTTGGATATTTACCCAGAAGTGGGATTGCTGGATCATATGGTAATTTTATTTTCATTTTATTGAGGGACCTTCATACTGTTTTTCCCAGTGGCTGCACCATTTTACATTCCCACCAACAGTGTACAAGGGTTCCAATTTCTCTGCATCCTCAATAACACTTGTTGTTTTCTGTACTTTTTTATACTGGCCATCCTAACAGCTGTATTGTTCTCTTCCTGAGATCTTTGTAGGAGGTGTTTGGCCCTCGTATATCATTTGAATTTGCCCTGAATTATCTCCTTATAAGTGAACTTGTCTTTTTGTCTGCCTACCCCTCGAAAAATTATTTCTTTAGTTTTGAAGTCCAATAACCTTTATGTCCTAGAGTTGATTTTTCTTTGTCATTATTTCAAAGAAATAATGGTGTGTCTTCAATTCATAGATTCAAGGCTTCATTAATTTCTTGGAAGTTGTCTTGAATTTTATATTTAAGTAATTTTTCTGGTTTTTCCCCAATTTTCTTCTTTGTGCACTTCAATTATTAGTATTTTTGCCTGCCTTCCATATCTATCCTTTTTTTCCTAATCCTAATTTTGAAAATTTCCCTGTCATTTTGCCCACTTTTCTCCTCCTGTCCTCTATGATCTTTAGTACGATTTTAGCAGTGCTTATTCCCCTGTTGTTGCTTCCAGTTTTGCTTTCATCTCTGGCCCATGTTTACTTCTTTTCCTCCCTTTCTTTCTTGAGCTCTGCCAATTCATGTCCCATCCTTTTCAGTTGTCTCAGCGTCTAATTTCTGAGCTCTTGTGCCTCAGCTCCACACCTCAGTAAGTTTTTTGGAAATCATGGTGAGATACTTGGTCACAACTTTCCACTGCTCTGTGGCAGTTTGTTTCCCCCTGGTGAGTGTTATTCACCTGCTCACTTCCTCCTTTTGAATTTCAGTATATTTGCATGTGGATCTCTGCTTGTTCCTTTGGGATTCCTCCTCTTTGAGCAGGGTGAGCTTTCTTGGATTAGGAAGAGGTTCATGTGGGTCAATGCCATGCTGCAGGGCAGGCACAAACCTAGTGAGATTTTAGTCTTTGTCTTTCCCCAGCCAACGGGTTTGGGTACTACAGGGCTATTCTCAGGGCAGACTCTCTTTTTGCACCTCACAGAGAGATACTTTCCGGCAAAAAGCTAGGCCAGGGAAGCTTCCCCTGCCACCTCCCATTAACTTCCTGGCAAGAGTGAGAAAGGGCTGGGAGCAGGGTAGGAGAGAGGGAAGAAGAAAAAGAAAAAGAAGGAGGAGGGGAAGGGGGAGAGAGCATGCCTCAGTCACCTTGGGATCTCTTGGTTGGAAGGGACACCCCCCGGGGAGGTAAGTCTTGAGCAGGAAGGGGAAGGTGGATCAAGCATCTGACCACCGACTCCTCTCTGCTCTCCAGGGTGACCACGTGTGGCTGAACCTCACCTCTGCTGACAAGACCAGCGTGCCCATCGGGGGCATCATCAAAGAGACAAAGCCTGGAAAGATCTTGGTTGAAGATGATGAAGGCAAAGTCAGTATGGCCACGCTCTCCTGAGGGGCTCAGCCTTCTCAGCCCCATCCCCCCACCCCTCCTGGGCCCCAAGCCCCCTCCCTTCTCTGGTGCTGCCCCCAACACCAGGGATTCCAGAGCCCAAGTCAGGGACCCACGTGGCAGGACAGACTACAGGGAAGTCGTGGTGAACGTTGTGTGTCTGTCTTGGGAACTGCTTCTATAGTGAAGAAGCAGGGAGTGTGTTGGCAGATGGAAAATTAGGACAATTAGGGGTGCAGGAAAGCGTGAAACTGGCTGTGACAGAGAGAAGGGGAGGGCAGGAAGATTGTTTGCAAAGTAAAGGAAGCTGAGCAGGAAGGACAGGAGGAGGGAGGGAAAGGTGAGAAGGATGCCTGGAGGGGAGGCCCTGGAATGTGAGGAGATGGAGGAAGCCCAGCTCACGCTGAGCAAAACAGCCCAGAAGAGAGAGTAGGAAGCTCAGGGTGACCTGCTGGGAAGCGAGCTCCGTCACCTGGGGGGCTGGGGAGAAGCAGGGGAGCGACAGTGGAGAAGGGCATGCAGAGTGAGGGGTCCAGCTGGTCATTTAAGTCCTCCTTGGGCAACCCTCTTTGCTGAGGGCCTTCAAAGTGAAGCATGGGGAGACTTGGCCTCCAAGGAGAAAATTCTAGACTGTCACCAGTGAGCCCCACAGATTGGAAGCCAGACAAATGTTAACAATAATACCTTCTATTTGCAAAATGATGTCATGCCATTTAAAGAACACTTTTACTTGCACACTTTTATTCCAACCGTCTGTGAGGCTCCCCAGCTGCAAACGGCGGCCCCCGATCCCAATCACAGGTAAATCTAACTCCTGGCTACACGCGCCTCTGACCCTGGTCTGAACTTCACTCTTAACCCCAGTGCACACTGACCCTCGGCCCTAGACGTGTGCTGACTCCAGCCTCGGATTGAGCCGATCCCCTTGACGTTCACCACAGACCAACCCTGGCCAGGTGCCGGCCACTAGATCGTCTGATCCATTGAGGACGTGGGGGACAGGTTGGCCCAGGACAACCCCCGCTCAGGAAAGCCTGTGCCCTTTGTTCCAGGAACACTGGATCCGAGCAGAGGACCTTGGCACCCTCAGCCCCATGCACCCCAACTCTGCTCAGGGTGTGGATGACATGATCCTCCTGGGAGACCTGAACGAGGCGGGCATGGTGCACAACCTCCTGATCCGCTACCGGCAGCACAAGATCTACGTGAGTCCCTCCTGGCCACATGGGGCCCCCTGGTGCACTGGGGCCACATGTGCTGACTTGGCTGGGGAAGCAAGCTATGCCCCGGGCACACCCGGCTCAGTCCCTGCTCCCCACGCCCTCAGTATGAAGATGCTCATTGATCTCTGCTCCCCAGTCTGAAAGAAGCAGGGGGATAAAGCCTTCGAGTGTACAGAAAGCTGACATGCAGCATGCCAGCTCAGTGCCCGGCACATAGGAGGCACTCAATTACTGCTGCCTCTCCGCTCCTCTGTGGCTGAGCAGAAGGCCTGCTCTGATGGCCGAGTGGACTGAAGGCCATGGGGTGTAGTCTTCTGCCTGGTTCCTTCCTAGGTATGTGGCAGAGACAGGGTCACCAGGCAGAAGACCTCTGCCCTCCTATGAAGTAAGTTGCGTGATGACCAGGAGGGCCGCGTAGGTAAATGCGGGTCCTTCTCCCAAAGCCTAGCGGTGGATGGGAGGGTCTCAACCCTGTTCTAATGCAGACCTCCCAGGGGAGGTGGTATTCCAACACTGACACCAGCTCTGCAGTGAGTGGGTGTGACCGGGGGAAGTCAACACCTGCCTGGGCTTCTCAGAGGGAGGCGGCTCATTGACCTCTGACCAGCCCTGATGCTGGGATGCTCAGAGGAGTGGGAGAGTAAGCAGGGGCCCCCGAACAGAGGGCTGGGCTGGGAGAGGAGAAGGAGGAGACCCTCGGGAAGGAGGAGGGGACGGGGGACTCTGAGTCCACTTTGGATGAGTGAGCCTCAGCTCCTGGGACCAAAAACAGCAATTATCCAAGTTGAATTGCAGCTTATCTTTTCCAAAGAGCTTATGCTTGCATTCTTTTATCTGGTTGTCATAGTCCTGAGCTAGAGACATTATCCTCTCTCTTCCTAAAATGAAAATGAAGACACGACTTCATGACAAGTCATGAAAACATGACTGTTGAGGTGGCCGTCCCGGTCCCAAACCAGAGGGGCAGGCAGGCCCAGTGGAGGCTCCAGATGAGCGGGTGATCCTGAACTAGGGTCCAGGAGGGGGTCCACGAGGGCTACTGTGGTGGCCCAGCCTCACAGAGGCCCCTGTGATTTTTTTGGCTGTGCTGAGTCTTTGTTGCTGCACGTCGGCTTTCACTAGCTGCAGCGAGCGGGGGCTACTCTTCGTTGCAGTGTGCAGGCTTCTCATTGCGGTGGCTTCTCTTGTTGTGGAGCACGGGCTCTAGGCGTGTGGGCTTCAGGAGTTGCAGCACACTGGGCTCAGTAGTTGTGGCGCACGGGCTTAGTTGCTCCGTGGCATGTGGGATCTTCCCAGACCAGGGATCAAACCCGTGTCCCCTGCATTGGCAGGCGGATTCTTAACCACTGCGCCACCAGGGAAGTCCCCATTCAGTCCATTTTTATCAAGCCTCTCCTGAATACCAGACAGAGTGCCAAACATTAAGCACGACCACCTCATTTAACGTCCCTGTGAACGCACCCCCTGCCTGGGAGCTCTCGCTCCTGGTGAAGGATCTGAGCTGCTGAGGGTCTCGTCTCTCGGTCCAGAATCAGACCTCACCTCCCCGCCACAGTCAGCCAGCCCTGGTGGCCCTCGGGAGGTGGCATCCAAGGCCAAGATCCGGGCCAGGCGGCGCTGATCCTCAGAGTAGGGGTCACTAACCACCTTCTCCCTTCCCCAGACGTACACAGGCTCCATCCTTGTGGCCGTGAACCCATACCAGGTGCTGCCCCTCTACACCGTGGAGCAGGTGCAGCTGTACTACAAGCGCCACGTGGGCGAGCTGCCACCGCACATCTTTGCCATCGCGAACAACTGCTACTTGAACATGCAGAAACACAAGATGGACCAGTGCTGCATCATCAGGTGAGGCCCTGGGCGGGCAGGTGGGCCAGACACTGCCTCTGAGCATCTCATAAAGGAGGGCGCATCTCCTCTCCCAAAACCTCTCCGGAGTAGCGTGTGACTTAGGGGCTCCCGTTCAACTGCAAACACCCCCCTTCATGGCCACGAACTCCCCTGCATCTGGCCCCTGTGGCCCTCCCACCCTGAAAAGTCCTTCTGAGGCTGCCTTCCGTCAGAACCTGCTCTTCCACTGTATCATCAGGGCCTGGACCGCCCCAGCCTTCTGTGAATATTTCCTGAGGCAAGGAAGGAAGGGTGGGGATGGGTTGGTTTAGAAATGGGACCCACGATAGTCACTTGGGGTGTGAGGATCCAACAGGTGAGGCCCCTCAAAAACAACCTCAGGGGGACTTCCCTGGCTGTCCAGTGCTTAGGACTTCGCCTTCCAATGCAGGGGACACAGGTTCGATCCCTGGTTTGGGAGCTAAGATCCCACATGCCTCAAGGCCAAAAAACCAAAACATTACACAGAAGCAATATTGTAGAAAGTTCAATAAGGACTTTAAAAATGGTCCACATCAAAAAATCTTAAAAAAAAAAAAAAAAAAAAACCTCAGGGCAAGTCTCAGGGAGGACAGATCTCAGGTACTTGGGCCCAGAAGGGATGTGTCCCTCTCCAGTCCAGGTGATGCTGCTGCTTCAGAGACTCGGGCCTGGCCTGGCTTCTCGGCCTTCTGCCCTCCTGGTACCCATGGAAGGGAGGCAGAGTGGGAAAGAAAGGGGGGAGAGGGAATTTGGCTCAAGGACACCTTGCTTAGTTCTCTAGTAGAGTCATCCATTCACTCATTCATTCATTCACTCATTCATTTGTTCATTCATCCACTCATCCACTCATTCACCCATTCATTCACTCATTCATTCATTCATTCATTCGAGGTTCTTTTGTGCTCCAATTCTGTCTCCTGTCCTGTCCTAACATGAGGAGATAGCAGCAAAGGAAAGGGACTAAAATCCCTGCCTTGTGGACCTTACATTCTAGAAGAGGAGACAGGCAATAAACAAGCAAATTGTTTCAGCAGGTAATAAGAACTTTGAAGGAAAACACTGCAGGGA